GGGGAAAGGCTTTTTGCAGCTTTCTTTACTGTAGAAAATTGGTTTAGAAGTAGATACCTCTTTTAAAGAAGTGTTTTGAAAGACAAAAACTAGGAAACAGAAAAATCAAATGTAAGAGGAAATTTAGGAAAGAAGCATGYCAGTTGGTTGCTACAGAAATAGGAAGTGGGATGCAGGGTAAAAAAAAAATGTGGATAAGAGTTGAATTCTGCAGAGCCTTGAAGATATGGATGAAAGTTTTTTGGCTGGATATGGAAAGAGAATAATTTTTAAAGAAGAGATATAAAGATATATATGCAGAACTGCATTGAGGATTTCCTTGAATTCCAATGAGGATCAATACTTATATTATCATCAGAAGGAGATCAGCTTTTTTTTTATCCATTTATTTCTAAGTATTTAAGGTAATTTGGTGTCTGGCATTTAGTAAAGATATGTTGTTGTCAGCTCATATTTGTAATGCTCCACATACAGCTCTTTTGTACCTGTATGAAGAAATCTGGTGAAAGATGTATTTAACTACAGCCAGGTTTTTGGGGGGGGTTGTGCAATTTGTTTATTCTGCTGCTATTATCCCCTAGTTGTGACATTTTATGGTGAGAAATAGATAAATAATTCTCAGATGAGATTCATGTCTTATTTCCCAGATGATAATGTCATCTTAAATGTTAGCATGTTCTAGACCACCAGACTTTTTTATTTTTTCCTTTATTACTCTTRCAATTCACTTTTTGCTGTTCACTTRAATATTTAYTTGAAAACTGTATTAAAATTATGTAATCTACTGTACAATAATKTATTCTGTCTGCCTCTACTTTTGCTGGGGAGGAACAACTGCATGCTTAACATTCATTCCCCATTGCCTGCTGAGTTCCAGCAGTGTAAATGTGACTCTTGGAAGACRGTGGAAAAGCAGGAAAAGGACAAGTGTCAGATGAGAGCTGAAATGGAGAAAGAAATGTCTATGAAGAAAAATATTTCAAAAGATTAGGAAGGTGAAGATTAGATGCCAGATATCTGGTGGAGATGGATAGTTAATGTCTGGATTTGTAGTTTCTGTTTTGGCAMTTTGGGGAAGAAATCTTTTTTAGGTGTCAGGGCCACAGTGGACACAGCCTTGAAAAATTATCAGAACCAGTGAAAAAAATCTGAGACAGTGCAGTGTGTTACATTCAGCACCAAGTGAAAATAATTAATCTGGCTTATGAAAAACATGAAACTGCAAATTTATGAATGCCTGGGCTTTAATTGCATGTTTGTATTCAGTGCTGCCCTCTTTTATGAAATGACTGCAAATAAGACCAGTTAAGTGAATTTACTTACATCTCTGTTTTACTGCATCCATCCAAGGAAAAGCCTTTGCAATGAGGACAAGCATTTTTGCAGTCTGAGCATGTTTGTGTCACGGTTTTAATTTCCATCTGTCTCATTGGAAATGGGAGACAGTGTGAAAGTAAAGAAGGTCCCTGAGGGAGGTGCTCCCTTTTGCCATGTTAATGTCACCAAGTGTGCCGCGGGTTAAGCGCTATTTGTGGAGAGCTCAGATCTCCTCTGGGCATCCACGAGAGGCTGCAGCATCCCAGGCCAGTGTCCAGGAGATTTTTATCATCAGAAAACACATTGWATAATGAGCTGGTCTTCAGTGAAATCAAACACTCGCTTTTCAGAAACAGGAGGGAGGTACAAAGGCTTCTCTCCCGACACCGTGAAACTCTGTTCGAGGTCAGAAATATCCAGTGGGCCTTTCACAGTGCCTTCTGKAGGCAATAGGCCCATCTGCAAATGGCTTTGTTATTAACTCTTTTGAAGCTTGAATSCAGGTTCTTTTCCACTAAAATGTCATYTAAATCTCTGAGATTCCTATTTTGTGAACCTGTTGGATTGGTCCTTTAATTTTCAGATGCATGATGTCTGTTAATTAGTTTTACAGTAAATCTAGCAGTCACAAAAATTCACACTTTCCCAATTTATATGCCCAGAGGGTAAAATCCTTGGAGTTTTCATGGTGTAAGTCTTGTGAGTCATAAAATAATTTTTTTTAAAGTGGTCTATATCCTTTCATCTTCTTAGCAGCTATTTAAACAAAGCCCAGAACTTTTATTCCAGAGCTTTTGAAGACATGTCCCTACCAGCACTTGTGAAAAAAGGACAGCCAAGTCATAGAATGTATAGCTGAAAAGCCTGGTTGGTGGTTTTTAAATATAGGTGTGCTTCAGTAATTCTGCATACAAGTGTATTACTTAAATGCATATTACCTTTTTGGAAAAATTTATTTACACAAATGAAAACACTTAAAGACTAAGCTTAATTGCTTTTCAAAAGAAGAAATGTTTAATGATTAAAAAAAAAAATTCTCTTTTGGAAGATTTACCTCAGAACATATTTTCTTACTAAAATAAGGCAAAATATAATTCAGAAAATATGAAGAAGTAAAGTTTTTTATAGTCAGAATTTCTATTCCCTGGATTTAACTAACTGTATATAAATAGTATGCTTATATCTTCCCAGTGTTTGGTTTGGTAAATATCTCCAAGTTCAGTCAGATGGGGGTAAAGCTCTGCCTGCTGCTCTCTGTTTACAGAACACAAGTGGTTGGGATATGCTTTTCTATCTGCATGTGTATTTTACATCTTGCATTAGATGAAACAAGAATTTTACCTGTATTAAAAAATGTGATTTTTAAAAAGAAAACTGAAATGAAATGAACAGAAAACCAAATTAAAGCATACAAGGAGATGGCCTTTAGGGCCAAGGCCTATTTGAGCAGTGTGTGACATTGTATTGGACTTTGTTTTAAAGGAAGTCTTAATGCTGTCTTCATGTTTTATTTATTCTTCCATTTAAATTGGAACTGGGAATTTTAAGAGTCAAGAGAACTCTGAATATTTGACAAATTGGGCAGTTTTCTAGCTGTTTTCATAACATTTTTTTCCTGGATTCTGTTGTTTAAGCAGCACATGTAGTGCAGGATTGCTAGAGTCAAATATTAACATTTCACAGAGACTTCCCACAGTATGATGATATTGGAGTCTTCAGGGCAGCTGTGATGAAAAATACAACTATATTTTACATTTTTTAGCATTTCTAAACTAGATCAGTAGTCTAGATTAAAATAAGCTGAMGGGACCAACATATCAAAGTTTTCAAATATTGGCACTCATAAATGCATCATTTTTTCCTTAGGTGTTGGAAGTATTCAAATATTTTAACTAATTACTTAATATAAGCATAGAACATGTTGCAAAACAGCCTGGAGCAAAAAAAAAAAAAGTGTTAATTGCTTCTGACTAAAAAGTTCTATATACATATGTCAAAAGCAGCATGCAATTCCCTATGTAGTTTGTCTTCCTAGAATCTGAACTATAAAATAAGCTTTTTCTGGGTAGCATTGTGTGATATGACTGCTGAAAGAAGCATCTGCTCAACAGCTGATTTTTTTTTCTTTTTTCTTTTTTTTTTCTGCTGTGGAATGCTTCAAATTGTGTCATYCTTTCCCTCCCATTGATTGTCAACATCTGAATCTTCATGTTCTARCATTTGTCAAGGGTGACTCCTAAAAGCCTTGGGCTGTGCTGGAATCTGAATGMATGACATAAACATTTTATTTTTCAAATGGAGAAACAGCAAGCCTGAATCAATGCAGGATGATCCTAAATTTTATAGACTGTAGGAAAAAAAGTGTTCATAATGAATTTTATTGTAMCAAATGACATTTATTCTAATAAAGTACATGTATATTTGGATTAATACATGCAAATCCTGTAGTTCAGTACTCAGCATGTATCTACTATGACTGATAATCCCATATGTTGGTCATAATACTTTGCTTAAATGTGTGTGACTAATCAGAGATCTGCAAAGAATCTACTTTAAAGACTTAGAAATGTTTCAGTATAAACTGCTACATTTTCTGGAGTTAATCTGTGTTACTAAAATGAAGCTACAAAAGTTCACACCACCTGTTARCTGCTGAAGTGGGAAGAGGGAAATTGTGCATTTCAGAGAAAGGCAAAGGACCAGAAGCGTGGGAAGGCATCTCCATACTCACTTAAGTTTGGCTAGTTTTGCAGATTGGCAGTACCCAAGTTAGCTTTTTTTTTCAACATTGTCTCTTGGACTCTATTTCATAAAAACAAATCTGTCTGTATTTTAGAGTTCTGAGTCAAAAGGCCCTGGGAATTAACTCTGCAGCTGACTGGTGCTCTGCAGGCAGGATATGTGCACAGGGATGGACACACAGCAGTTCTATTTATTTGCACTCAGCTGTGCAAATTCAAAATGTGCCCTGAGATATGTGTGGTCATAGTAAAATGAAATCTGTAAGAGTTAGTAGTTGTGTTAAAACACTTCTCATCGTAAAACTTTTAAATGGATTAGCAGCTTGAGATTCTTTTCCTCATAGAAATGTTCCCTTCTGTGCACAAATTRCTATTGTGTACTGAATGTCTCAGTTTTCTTTATTACAGCTGGAGGAGACATTTGATTCAAGAACCTCAGCTGTTTATTTTTATGTCATTACTACTTGGCCTTTTTGTAGCTGCTTCAGGGAATAAGGGAAGAGGCTGCTGGTGACATCTTCCCTATTTCTCTGTATTCTGTTTCTCAGGCTTGCAGCCATCAATAGCATCRATGTCCTTAATGATTTTTTTTTAATTTTCCCAATGGCATTACKCAAAAAGAGTATTACATACTTGAAATTTGCATTTGAACTGATGAACTAGAAATATCTCTCCATAATGCAGATGAGCAACATTGCTGTTACCATTCACATATCCCAAGTAAGTTTTCCAGCTTCCATTTTGCTGGAAACTATATGGCCTGTCATATGAAATGGGAAGATTTTATTACACAGTCAGGAGGAAAKCAGTTGAGTTTTAGATAATTGCAAGTTTTACTTGTTTTTCATTTTTAGTAACAAATTAAAGAATTGTAACACTGAGCCAACCAACTGTGTGAAATTACAGCACACACAGACTAATATTTTCTCTTGTATCATTTAGGTTCCTCTGAAACACTGGAGTTTGTATATGAATTGCAATATAAATCAGATGAAATTAGATCTCAGCTTGAACCTTTCCTTGGAATGGAGCTGGTTGAAAAAAAATGGGATACAGAATCCAAAATTGTGACACTGATCTTTAATGTAGTGTTTGCACCTAGCAAACCAATGAGGTAAGATCCTATTACTTACTACCATAAGAACATGTAGTGAAATCCTGTCTGGTCACTCTTACTATATAATCATCTCCTTGCATTCTTTTCCTCATTTTGCTGTCACCTCTGAGATCTATAGTTGTAGATTTTCTTCCTTGCTGCTTCTCAGTATGATATTTTCGGTGTTAAAACTGACTGTGTTTCATTTTAGTGCCTKTGAGATGGTTCTGCTGAGTTACTTGCATAATCTGTGTGTGCATCATATTACTTCTGAACATTGGAGTATTGAAAGACTTCCAATGAAWATTAGTTGTTCTCATAATTCATGAAAAACATACAGGAAGATGGTTTATCAGCCTTGGAAAACTTTTCTTAGACAAGCATGTGTGCCTATTCTTTGACTGGATGGGATAGCTGAATTTGAAATTGGTCTTTAATGCCCCAGTAACAACGATCCATGGGAAATCACTCTCTTTTTTTGTAGTTGTGATGGGAGAAATTATGTATTTGCTTTGAATTRCATAAGAATATCCCCCTTCTTTAAAAGGAAACTGGAAGGGAGATCCTTTTGGAGAGAGGGAAGTAGCACCTTCCTTTGGATACAAATGTGTGTCAGGAGCAGGTTGCAAAGAAGCAAGGCACAAAGTAAATCCATAGTCCCAGCATTTCCAGGAGTGTTAGGGACCAGTCACTGCTGAGTACCATGGACTGCATGAAAAATGTCATCTTTAGGATGCAGGAGGTTATTCTTTATTTGCAATAKTCCAGAAGGTAAATGAAATAAACAAAGAGCAAACCTTTTGGAAGAGTGACCCACACACCCAATGCAGTGTTATTATGTCAGAGGGAGGTGAATTTAGAAAGCCTTTTCATTTCAACTCTCTCCTTTTTACTTCATTATTTTTCAGTTTGGTTTTGTTTTTGGTTTGTTTTTTTTTTAAACTTTGTGTACTTGAGACTTATCAGGCTTCATGCAGAGGATTCAATGACTGCAATTAATTAATTTTGTTATCTTCAGAATCTACAGCACCAACTCTCTTAGATGGTCTGAAGGCATCAGAGTCTTAAGTACATAGACCTTTGTCAGATCTGTTTGAACCTAATTTGAACTGCCAGTATGTTCTGGATAAAACTCTCTAACACCACAGTAAACACAGAACAATGAGTAGAATAAATTTATGGATTTTTTGTTTGGTTTTATTTTTGCTCAAAAGAGAGCGAGCAGAACAATACTAAAAACTCATGGCTGTGCCAGGAATGTTACTTTTATATTACATTCTTTCTTGTGCTTTGCTGTRAATGTTCAATGCTATTTAATCTACATTCCAGTCAAGTTTACCTAATACATACTATGCCATGCAAAATTAGGGATATATTCCAATTTAAACTCAATTGCATTTTTATTTTACTGTAATGTACTTGTACACTCGAGGATTGTTTTGTGCATTAATCAGTTTATGTTTTATAATAATTTTCTATGTATTAAGTGTTTTTATCTGAAATTTTAAGGAATGAGGCAACCCTTGTAACTCAGTGTGATACMGGAGGTCTGTGGAAGTTTCCTTTGCTGTTCATTGCCACGGAGCCAGAAGTGGATGATGTGATCAACATTGAAGCTGTTGGCCTSAATAAGGAATCCATGGTTGGCTTTAAGCTCACAAGCCAGACAAGGTAAAAACTCACTCAAGAATTGATGCAGTTTTCTGAGGGTACARCTCCTACTCAAACACATTGGCTGGAATCAATCTGGGCAACAGAAACGTAACTGGGATGCAGCTATTTCATCATTATTTTCAAGAGCTGCACTGTGTGAGTAACAAATGTGGTTTTGAAGCTTTGTTGTAGAAAACAGAAACATTCTACATTTGGGCTTTGGGTTTTCAAACAGAATTTATGGAATAGATTCARATGTTTCTGTTACAACTTCTATTTTGTCCAAAAAGGCTTAGAGTTGTGTTAAAATGTGAAATACAGTGCTAAGGAAAGTATTCYGTGGTATTAAAGGCTCACTAGTAAAGCTTTAGTGCTTCTATTAATAGATTGTTTTCAAAATACTTTATGCTTACACCAAGTTAAAAACATTTCTTCACATTGTGCTTTAAAAAAATTTAAATGCACCATTCCTTTTAAAGTGGTATCCTGTTGTACTGAGTAAGTATGCTATGAATTCATCTCTACTTCCACTAACTAAAATATTGGTGTAATTCTTCAGTATTTTGTTACTCTACTTTTTTAAAAGCCTGCAGAAATCTCCATTTATATATTTTTTACATATTTCAATTATTTTCTCAGAGTTTTACAGTGTTATAGCAAACTTACTGTGCCATTTGTATACAGCAAGAAGTCAAGGAATGAATTATGTGATGATGATAAGTTTTAAAAGAGTAAACAGTAAATCTGAAAGAATCATGATGCTTGCATACTATTTAGCTTATGGCAGGTTTAAGGTTTCTTTTGTTTTCTTTTCATTTATCTATTTTGACCATATATCTAGAAAGTGCACATATGCAGATTSACTCTTTCATTGTGCATACATCCTTTTGTTTCATCCCCATCAGGAAGTGTATTTGGTTCTAACTGTTTTTTTTAAAGCTTATTTCCAAAAGCTGTGTCTCTAAGATGGACAGTTCCAGGTTTTAGATGTCTGTCAGTGATGATAATTAYTGAGGACTCTGAAAAAGGCTTCTATCACAGTGTTCAAGTTAACAGCTTCAATGGAATGGGCTGTTTCAGGAACAAAAGTGAAGCAATTGCTCTGGCAATACTGTAATCTCCTGGTAGGTGTTTGATAGTAGTGAGGATACCTGATGTTCTCCAGAAAGGTATTATAAAACCCGAGTCATTACAGTTATATGAAGAGCGAGCCATGATGGAAGATAGAGTCCCCTTTGCCCTTAAACAAATCCCAACTTTATTTTATATAGCAAGTTTTTCCCCCCATACATTTCAAATGCAAAATGTGATGTTTGCATGTACTAAAAACATTCTGTTATAAATGAATCAGGAGCTCCACTCATTAGGAAGARCAGGGACAGTGGGTTRGGGAGRTGATCYTGCCCCTSTGCTCAGCCCTGGYRAGGAACACTTGGAGTGCTGGGGGCAGTTTGGGGSTCCTCAGCACAGGAGAGACATGGAGTGGGTCCTGGAGAGTGTCCAGGGGAGGGTGACAAAGATGATGAAGGGACAGGAGCATCTCASTGAGGAAAGGCTGAGGGAGCTGAGCCTGCTCAGCCTTGAGAAGAGACGGCTGAGAGGGGCCCTCATCCCTGTCTGTGTGTGCAGGGAGGGGTCAGGGATGGACCAGGCTCTGCTCTGTAGTGCCCAGCAGTGGGACAAGAGGAATGAACAGAAACTCAATGTCCAGAAAAATCCATCTGAACATGAGGAAGAAATCCTTCACTGTGCAGTGACCAAATGCTGGAACAGATTGTCCAGAGAGGGTGTGGAATATGCTTCCCTGGAGATATTCCAGAAATATTGGGACAAAATCCTGTGCCATGTGCTCTGAGATGATCCTTCTTGGGCAGGGGGGTTGGACCTGATGACCCACTGTGGTCCCTTCCAGCCTGACCTGTTCTGTGAACTGCTCTGTAAGCTATATATTGCTTTATCTTGCTGTGATTTGCTAAGGAGATTTTGGTGGTTTTGTGTAGAAATAGAACACTCAGCCGACCAACACATAGTGTACCGGATCTGCAGATTAAAAATAATTTCATAAGAAAAACATATATCACAGTTGTAATTTAATGCTTGAATAACTCAAATTACTTAGATTAAAAATAAAACAATGAAATATTAAAACAGGGCTTAAAATTTTTGATTATGGTTATAAACTGTCAGCCTATAGCTCCTTCCTGGAAAAAAAAATCAGTGGCACAATCCATGGAGAATCAGTTCTGCTGCTTTAAGAGAGGTGGTTATTTTTTCTCTTTGCATATAGATACGCTTCCTTTTCTTATGCTGGGCAGCATCTCATGGCACTGCTGCTTTGAGAGTAATTGTGAGGGAAACAGAGGTGCATTTCTGAGTAGCCTGCAAGGGGGAGACTGCAGCTGTGTCTTTTTCTGCAGCTACTGCCAGGACAGAAGGGTTGCACAGYATCACTGAAAACACCTATGCATCTTTTTGAGCTAGAAGGGCACTTAGTGATGTAATAAATAATATTTGAGAACCTCAGGCCCTAAAAAAGGCTTAAGATCTTATTAAGGACAGGTTTGAATTCTTGTATATATATATATATATATATATATATATATATATATATATATGTATATATACCCCACATTGAATGATGATCTTCAGGGATCCACAATAAAACTGAGATCAATCAGCTTTGTTTTGTTGTTTCTTTTTTCTTTACAGCTCCTGCAATTCAAATGTGGGCTTTTTCCTTTAATTCCACATGCYCTCCTCTCCTCCCTCTCCCCTCCAGCCTTTGAAAAATCCTCAGTGTGTACAAAATGYCTCAGACTGAATTAATGATTTTGGTGTGGTTGCTTCAGGAAGGACAATTAGTTACAAATGGGAGGTCATTGCTACTCTCCACAGTGTTCTGCAGTGATGAAAGCTCCAGCAGTTCATGCAAATATGTAATGYACCCTTTTAATACATTTAAAATTGACACAGACATGACCTAATGAGAAATAGCCCAATATCTGCTCAGGTAAATAATGAAAGATACTGAGAATGTAGCTGGTTTTATTGCATGAAGAAAACAAATGTATTTTTTTTTTAAACTCTATGCATCTGTGTCAGTTGGGATGTAGGAATAGACCAATATTTTACTTTCAGCTTTAAGAATTCCAAAGGGACATGTTCCTTGACTAGAGTCAAATCAGCAGACTTCACTTCCTAAATAAGAAAAATTTACTATTTCTTACCAGTTATGGATGACCTTTTTCAGTTTTTATTATAAATACAGCTTTAATTCAACACAAGCTGAAAACATTGGCAGCATTTCCACTGAGGTAATTTGTTTTAGTATGAACCTCTAATGTTTGAGATAACATTAGTGCTTGTTTTAATACCAAATGCATTATTGAATACCAATGATTTTCAGAATGACAGCAGCATTAACAAAAAAGGATAGAATATTATCCTTGGAAATAGCACTTAGAGAAATTTATTTGATACCCATCTGAAATTGTTGGTCTATTATTTTATGTTGAAACCTGCAATTGGAACATAAAATAAAAATTCTCAAAGTGATGCTTTGCTTACGAAAACTAGTCCTTTCTGTATTTGGCTGACTGAAAATAACTTAATGTATTTTTTATCAATTAAGTTTGAGATCAGGACATTTGTATTAATACAGAAGTGAATCTTGGAGCTTATTTACTGTCCTGTCTTCTTGTACAGAGGTAGTTTGATGGTTGGATTTAYTTCTTCACATTAAATACTGAAGTCCAGCTAGAGAAGAATGTGACCTTATATTTTCCAATGCAAATACTTCAGTAGCCAACCTGAAATATGTGGGATAGATAGATAGATATTTATGAACACTATATTCACTTGAAAATCTTTTGTAAACTACACTGCATTTGACGGTTCAGTCAAACTGGGGGATAATTCTCTCCTGTTTGCTCTCTCTGCTTCTTTCTCACACACAGAGTTTCCTTTCACCACTTTGGTGCTATCATTYCATGTGCCTGTTAGTGATTGTTTCAGTCATGTATGGCTTCCTGCACACAGTAGAATTCTTTCCATCTTGCCATCCCAACCTGTCACTCCAATCCTGTGTGTATCACAAACAGGATATTGATTGCATTAAGGAAACTTCTTGGATAAACTCAAATTGCACCTCAGGAAAATGTAGCACCTGCTGTCACCAAACAGCCTCGTGTTGATGGGATCTGCAAAATCCAGGGCTCCACCTGATTGTGGAAACAGAGCTAGAATAAAGAGAAAAAAAAAACAACCCCAAACTGGTGGGCTAGGGAGATTARAATAAAGATGAAATTAGGTTTTGAAATGACTGCATGTTCAGATTTAGTTGTCTTAACCTACTTTTCATTGGAGATTTTCCTTACTTCTTCTATGCACATTTCCTAGTGCATAGAATAAATGTTCAATTTAAGACATGCCTTGATCACACTAAATTAATTTTAACTCTGAGGAATTAGTGAGCAACCCATTTTGTTTCTGTACCCTTCCTAATTTTGAAGGGAAAACAAAAAAAAAAGTGTTTACAATTACAATTTTAAGAACCATTTCTATTTCACTGTAATTACTGCTGTATTTCATTAGAATTACCATGAGCCAGAATTAAGTATGCTGCAAGAAAATGCTTTTGGTAAGWTCTCAGCTCATGCATCCTCTCCTTCACTCTCACAGATTGCTGTGCATGTTAAAGGCCTGAGTTCCTCTGGCAATCTCTTTGTTTGCAGTTCTGCAAAATTCTACCACTAATCTAAAGATGTAATTAGAATACTTTATCTTAGCTCTTCCCACACAATGGCAGCTGCAGAGCACAAATGTTGACTGGGCTCCATTTTTTAGAGTCTGAATGGAGACCAGTGGAAAATATTGATAATGTGAACATGCCAGACCTTTCAGAAAGTTATGATCATCCTTCCTTGACATGTCACACATTTAGCCAGGAGCTGTWTCCAGCCATCAGTCAGTCTGCAAATACAGCACCCCAGGGTAGAACAGGGTGAGACAGAAATCRTCTTGTGAAGAGAAAATCTCTGACTCCTGCTTTGGTTTTACAACATGTGCACAACAAAAAGTCATGTTGGGGTTTGTAAAGCATTCCCTGACTGTGGTTTGTCGTGAAGTGTTTGCTCGTATTTTTGAAAGTCCTTTAATTCTAAAGCAGCCTTTGCAAAGCCACAGAAATGATATTTGGAGTTTAAATCCTTTCTGATGTCCAGAGTTCAGGATCTAGAGTGGCCAATTAAACCAGAGTTGGTTTGGGTATGAAGCTTAACAAATTTTGATAAATAATAAGGAGTTCCCAATTTATTTTTCCATTTTTTTGGTTAATAAGAAATTATCTAAATCATACCAAATATCACTAATAATTCTATAGAATTTGACAAATACACACAGTTAATAAGTTCAAAGGACTTAACTGTGAAATAACTGACATTTCTTGTGTCATCCAACAGATGTTAGCTACAAACTACAAGAAATTAGTTCTGATTAACTATTGTTGAACCACACTGTAAAATTTTATATCTCTTATTTGCTGAAGAATTGATATACTTTACAGATTAAGACATTTTGTTATTTTTCTTTTATTAACAAAAGATATCCAAACATTTGAACAAAAGGACTATGTGTTGGTATTTTTATGCATGGCTTTTCAAAATGCTGAGTTTTGTAAAGGAATATGCATTTCTATAGGAATAATTTACTGCTTCAGTAGTTTTGGAAAGGGAAACATTAAACCTCTTTTGAGCCTTGATTTAATAAAGGATTATATTTTCACTTTTGATGAGTATTTTATAAGTTTTGGAGTGTAATCTCTACAGGAATATGAATTTTAGGTTTTTATTTAGTTGAAAGTATAAGGTGCTATTACTTTTTAGTTTAATAATTTGAAAATTCTGTAGCATTGGGGACACTGATAAGCATAGACTGCCATTTAAGGACAAGATTAAAGGAGTAATTATAAATATGTCCATTAAAGAGCAGCTCAATTTCCTTTCTTCCAGGTTGCCATGATTTGATTGTGCAATTACTATTTAAATTCAAATTAGTATTTACTCTTGTTCATTATTTGAGTAAGGACAGAGTTCATGTTGTCTGATGGCAGTATCAAACCATTATGAGAGGAGTTAAGGAAACACAGATGGGAAAACACATTTACTCTGGTTTATAAGGCCTGAGCCCTTACATTTTCTAATTCATTTGTACTTGGTTCATATGTGTTTTCAAAATTGTACACATCATTAAACTTTATTAAGTATGTTAATTATTTGCCACCCTTCTTGAAGAAGCACTGACTGCCCCACAACCAACCCTCACAGCTGAGAAATGACAAGCCAAGCACTGACTGTTTTACCTGAAGGAGTAATCAAAAAGGAGGAATTAAATTTTAATAATTTAAAAAAAAATAATTACTGATTTTTAATTATACACTAAATATACAGACACAGAGTATGATAATGTCTGAAATTCAGGTKCTATTCTGGGAACTTCATCTCCAGCTTTTTCTTCATTAATGAAGAGGAGAATGAGAAAGCAATTTACTTGTGCTTGTGAGGTCCCCAGCATGCCAGTTYATGTCCCTAATGTGAACAGCAGTGAAAGTACTGCTTGTTTTGTCTCGAGAGGGCATCTTTAGATTTATTTTTAAAACAATGCATGATTTATCAGTGCAAGGTTCCTGCTTCTGATTATGTATAATTTTTTAATTGCTTCATCAAGCAATTGGCCCTACTGGCCTATCATGTTTTGGCTATACATTTATTTTGTCAGAATTTCCATTTACCTTATTTGAACATAATTTCTACTCTGACAAACATTTTGCATCCAGCAAATGCCCTGACTTTTGTTTAAAACTGACAGGCTGTGGGGAGGGAGCAGGGAAGTTTTAGCTGTGATTATATATCATAATATATATATTACATATATATTCATGTAAGTTCATAGGCATTTATGTCTTTTACTYAACAGGAAGAAAGTTATAGCTGCCTCTAGATAATATTGTCAATAATATAGCTGCCTCTTGTGATAATATTGTCAATAATCACATAGATTTTCCTTAAGTATTTTTTATTAGTTTTATTTTTCCATTTTTGTTTCTGAACAGTAAAATCTGAAAAGACTATTTTTCTCTGGCTCAATGAATATCTTGTGTGCATAATTACAGATGAGTTATGTGACAGTTTCATTTTCAACTGTCTGGTGTCCTTGTTTGGACAAAAACTGTAGCTTTTTCAAATCCTCTGTGTTTTCTATCTGTTTTGAGGTCTCTGAAAAAAACCCGAAACAAACTACTGTTGCATAGCACCCTGCTAAAAGGCAATTTCTGCAGGAAGGAAATCCCTGTGTCTGCTGTGCATGCAGCCTGTCCCCTGCCTCATCTCCCTCAGCATTTCATCATCACATCTGTGGTCCAAGTCATGCTCTTGTATATCTTACAAAGAACCAAGCACTTACTGGGAATTGTCATCCCTAAATACTTAACTGAAAACAGACAGAACACAGGAGATAAAGAAAGCACTGCATTAATATGTTCCTGAACCTAGTCTAGAGAGCAGTGATGTTGGAAATGCAGACTGGTGGCCAGGTCTGTGTTTTCAGGGTGAGTTTTTGTTTCAGGTATTTTTGAGGAGTGCTCTACTCTGCTGCTCGTCTAGAAGCATCATTTCTTTTTGATCCYGTGCCTGCTCTCTGTGCATAGAGGTGTGCTCTAGGCACTCACAGCTGAGCAGTCCTTGCTGGAAATAAAATGTGAAAATTCAATTATCCTGCCTATGGATGGGAACTCAGGCCTGGCAGGATTAGTGCTGATGGCCCAGGGCTGTAAACTCAGCAGCACAGCTTTAGGCACCACAAAGAGAGGTTTTTAGCATAGGTTTGATGTCACARGACTGGAAATGTAGTTTCAGACATTCAGTATTTTTGCCCCCCTTGCTGTCACCTAAAGGAAAAGCCAGGCTCAATCTGCTGCTGCACCCAAGTCTAACAGAACTGCTAAATATCAGGTAATTCTTTTTGAAGCAACAGAAGCTTTTCAGTTTTCTGCACTCACACTGTTTATTTCTGTAAACTGCCAGTGTGACCTTTTTTACACGAGAGCATTTTGAATATGGTGCAACCTTTCATGAGAACATGTTCCAAAGGAAGGCTATTTTTAAACAGGATGAGATAGGCCCAGCGTGCCACCCACAGGATGCCCAGGAAATGTGGGACATTTCCGTAGAGATATGACTTGCCATAAAATATKAAATTYCATTTSTTTGTGGGTATTTTCTTTGAAAAGTGTTATTTCTGGTGTGACAGTCCATGAATAAACAGATTTGAACAGCTTTTCATTTAGATGCTGGTGGCTTTTCATTCTTCAGGTTTTATCAGCTGAAAATGCATTCCCTCTAAGCACACACGATACTTGCCCTGCTGGATGGTGCCAGGCTGTTGTGGATTAATTTTTGACCATCCCATTGTATTTCTAGTTTCAATTTCCTGTGTTCTCCTTCTGTCCAGAGAGTGATATAGTTATCCTCAGCAGCACATATAAAAACCAAAAAGAGAATGCTTCACCAGAAAATACAAAAATGTGCATTCTTTTCATGCTGAGAATGTTTATGGCAAGAAGTCCCTGGGGAACTGTGATGGACAGGGTTTGGGATTGGCCTGAGATTGTTTTATAGTGCTCAGCCACTGTCTGTACCAGGACTAAGCATTTTCTTTGGGGTCAGCAGCTCTGCTGTGAAACAAGCCATTAGACAAAATCTGCAGTACCTCTGGCAGAAATTCTTTCAAATAAGGGCTRTACAATAATATCAGCAGAGGAACCTAATTATGTTGTTGCAAAATCTTAAAATATTCCGTTTATGTGATGTGAAAAATGTGAAAACAGYAATAGAAAATTATTATTTTTCATATCTTCATTTCAAGGCTTTCAGAACTCCCTCCCAGTCTAGTAGCACTCTGCCAGAATGCAAATTCAGTTCTAGTCATAAACCTTAATAAAATGGGTAGCTTGTCAGTTTTATTTGATTAGAGATTGGAAGAGAGAGTGCTTTTAATAGGAAAAATGGATTTTCACTCTTATATGGAATTTACTTCTATCACTATTATTATATCTTTACAAGTCAAATGATTCTTTTTCTTTCTAGTGGMAAATGCTATCATTATTCCATAGTTAATTCAATATTTATAATAGCGTGYAAATGTGTTTGAAACTGAAGACCAGCATGCAGGTTCCTGTRTATAAAGATTATACATATTTACAAATAAATAATTATTACAGAGCAATTATTCTGAAAGTAAGAATGCTGTTAATATCCCATATTCATGCCATGTTTCCTGAGTCATGCCACGTTGTGGCCTTAATGTTAGATTGCAGATAAACTCTGTTGAGATGCTGTAAAAGGCACAACAATTTCCTGTGTTTTTCCACAGCTGCCCGGAGCCATTCACCGCGTATTTCCTGGCAGGCAGCGATCCCGATTTCATTGTGATTCCCCAAGCTGGACAACTTCTCCCAGCAGGCACAGTGGGAACCCAAATAACAGTGGGATACAAGCCAAGGATATATGGCAAGAAGCACAGAGCAACACTGGTCATCGAGGTAAGGCTTCCCCAAAGTAATCCAGAAATGCAGCTTTAGGAGGGACAGCAGGAAGAGAAATCCTGCACCAAAGAGCAGCATTGCAACACACCAATGCATTACTGTGATTCTTGTGATGCTCCTCACAATGGACAAAGAAAAAACTAAATTTTAAGGATTGAGTCATGACAAGATGGAAAAACATACTGTATTTGACACTGGATTGTACTGTATTTTAATTTCTGTGTTATCCCTTTGCCATCAGCAGCAGAGGCAGATCCTTACCTTGATACCTTTGCCTGAACTCCATAGACAACATGACTTTCACAGAGAATCAAAATAATCCTGTTACCAACTGGTGAAAAATATAAAAGTAATTGCAAATGTGAAGCCTAGGCTATTTATTTTAATTGTATTATACATCTTATAGGATCAAAGGCTCTAGAAGGCAGGTGCCAAACTGTGGAAGATAAAATTTCAGAGCAGAAAGGCAGGAATTGCTCTTCTGAAGCAAGATGCAAAATAAACAAAAAATGCTTGCAACCAAGTAGCCTGTGTAAGCCTGAAGGTCAGRAAACATTTGAAGACATGTATTTCTTCAGAAGTAAAAATGTTCWTATTAATTCAGAAACTAGTTTTCAAGTTTTAAGTTACTCTTTAAATGCAATCTGTTGAAAACACACTCAGCAGGGGCAAACATCCCCCATTCCCTGCAAATCATGGTTTGCACTTTTAAGTCTATTTACTTCACGCTGGCAATGTTTTCAGGCTACTGTATTAGAAGAGAAACAGCAATGTTAATTTAAGAAATAAGATGGTCTACACAAAATTGATGAAAAGATACATGGMAAATAACTATAATGTTTTATCTCTATAAGTGACAACTTGTATGTACAAAAGTGAATAAGAAACTCAAATCCTGGAAAAACAAGGTCCTTCAATCCTTTCCACATCTTTTCTTTTACTGTATTAGATGTTTGATTAATTTAATCTTTACATAAACAGCAGTAATGCTTATCACTCTTCCCTTTGAGAAAGAGGATAGCTGACTGAATATAYTCTGTGCTCTTTTGCATTTACAAAATGCTGTATGGCACAGCTACACAGAGCTCAGAAACTTCTAATGAAGTTGTGGAACTGAACTCCTGTCTTTAGGCATGGCMCATATAAATGTACATATAAAAATATGCCTGTCCTTTTCATCACTAACAAAGGATTTTAACCACAAATCCATCTGGAATGGGACAAACACAGCAATCAAAGGTTATTATTAGCTCTCTAATAACTCAGGCAGTAATCCAGAATTTCCTTTTAGGAGTTTGCCAGTACAGATGGTCTTGGTCTAATTGGATTTTAAGCTGTATTCACTCACACCTCAGTCTCAGGTTGTGGTCTAGGCAGACAGCTCTTCACATCTGCACCTCTGGTAGTGTGTGTGGCTGCAGGAAGTCAGTCATTCATACATATTACACATATTTATCAGATCACATCTTGTTGTAGCTATTCCTGCATGTTTAAATATGCATCAAGGACTCTTGATGCTTGTAAGCACATTTTGGACCAGTATAACTCCATCATTGTCTGTTAGAGGTATTTCCAGTGTTCTTACTCTAAGYGCAGAATTAAGTGTTTTCAGCAGTGTTTTGATGAGGTTTGTGCTCTCTTTGCTCTTTTTGGTAGCCCTTTTGTGTGCTCCAGACTTTCCCCTTCCTCTCCACACAAGCTTTAATTCCTGCAGTTCTAATGGAAGTCAGAGCATCAGGGGCTGTGTGTGATTTGGCTGCTGTGCTCTCAGCACCRACCTGAAATGAGGTTTGATGACATGTTGGAATACCTGATACTCATTTCTGCCTTTTGTGTTTGTTGAAATCATTTTCATTAGTGACCTCAGGGAGACAGATTTAGTTAGATGTATTAAATAAAGACAGTATTAAATCATTCTTATTTGGGGAATAACAATGGAGGTGGGGAAATGCAATTAGTGTTGGACCTAGCACTGAAGAACGTTTCTTGCATGTATCCTCTCTAGCCAATATATTGGCTGAGGCTTTGGGCTATTTTTAGAAATGGTGAAAAARCTGCTTTTCTTTTGCAGTGCCTCTCTTCTGCTGCTGCAGTAGTAAAGGACTACAGTACTCTTTCATTAAAAGGTCTTTTGCCTTTCTGAGGGTAAAATCATAGACCTAACACTAACATATTTTTATTATTGAATTCTTTGAACAGTGAGTATCAGATTTATAATATTTTCAGTGAACAGTGATAATTAATCTGTAAAGCAGCAGAGATGGCAGTATTAAGTTCTTTGGTTTATGTTCAYCATTACAATTGTGTTCTAAAAGAAAATGGGAGGTTAGGATTATGGAGAAAGCTCCCACAGTCATCTTTTTMTCATTTGTTTTAAACATTAAAACCAAATATTATATGTACAATTTTTTTTTGTTTTGTTACCCTGCTGAGAACCCAGTGCTGAGAAGCTAATTAGCATTAACATATGTATTACAGTCTGTCTCTACCAGAACAGAGTGTGTACATTTTATTAACTGAATGTATAAATGTAATTGACATAATGTTTTCTAGTTTATATTTCTGCACAAAAATCAGGTACTTCTTGGGGTATGGTGTGGAGTCTTTGAGAGTTCAATATTCATGAATATTTACTGTAGATTTTATTAATGACAGGAAACCTTAATTACTTTGCTGAAGCAGYTAAAATTTTTTAACCATCATTAAAACTTCTGTTCTCAGTCAACTACATATTAAAACAATTGAAGTTAGATAATTATTTAAATAGCTGCTAGGAATCTTAATTTTACAGAAGTGACATAGCAAATTACTTGAAAAATTTATGTAGATCAAAGAATGGAATATAATAATAAGGCAGTAAGGAASATAATCATTCTTGTTTCTTTGAAAAACCTTGTAGCTTTGAATGAAGACATCCTTCAAAGCTACAGGTAAGGAACAGTGAAACAGTACCT